TCTTAGTCTATGGATGGAATACATTTGTTTGGGAGTGGTGTAATGCTGACTTGTTTTTAATTCATTATTACATTGCATACAGACAGACAGCACAGATTGACTTAACTCAATCAAAATCATTGCTCTCATGTAAAGTATTAGTTAAGGTCTACACCACATACCCAGTAACTTGATGAAAAATAATTGCATTTTCCCCACCAAATATGGTTACATGAAAGAATCAATTCGTTTGGGATTCCTTTGCAAGCAATACAACAAACGTCATTAATGAAATGAAAGATGGTTCACTTTATATACATATAATACAATTCACTTGTAAGCAGAAAGACTTCATGCACGGTTTCTTGAGTATACCTAGAAATACGGCTACGGCCCTACACCTACATCATTACCCTATTCTTTTTCCCTATTTCTGATCAGAGAGTTCCACGTCTTGTAGAAAGACTATATAGAGGTGAAGATTGACATTTCTGCTTATCTTTTCTTTCAGGAGGAGATTGATTAGAATTATCTACTAGAAAGGAGAGGCCCATTACCAATAACATATCGCTAGCTAGGTATCTAAACACAAGCATCTGCCATGGTATTAGATGTCTTCAAAATAAAGGCTTCAACTTTTTGACAATGTCAAGTGGTATCTCATTCGTAGATTGCATGAATTACTACGGATCACATTTTCCCAAGAGGAGTGGTCAGTCACTGCCCCCATCCATCTCCCAGTGACTATGCAGTGACGATGGGCTTGTGATTTATGTAGACCTTACATGAAATACAATTTCAAGAAATTATGTTTCTGTGATTTATTTGAATATTCAGCATCATTAGTTACATGTATTTGGTGAAATTGAGATACTTTGGTTTCATACAGATCTTGTCATATACCCCATGTGATGCTTTGTATGTATGAATAAGATTATTAGCAACTAAAAGGACATTATACTTACAATACTACATGTAGCTTTAGGAGCTTATGTATTCCAAGAAGGTTTTTTTATTAAAATTACTTCAGTTTGCCCAACTACAGTGTATGTATATTCCAAGTTCCAAAATTTTCTAAAGTTTCACAGAATCATTCATTTATCTCAACTTGTTATATTTTCTGAAGTATTTTGAAGCAGACTATTTATCTTATATATTTCAGAGACATATATCTACACATATGTACATGTTTTTAGATGCTAAGTGTTTTGTGATATTCTACGTTGTAACCCATCTCCTCTTTATATTCATTATCATTGCAATTACACTCAGCTCATACTCCACTCAATAACTTTTAAATCACATATCAATCTAATGGTAGAGGGATGCATCACTGGAACTAGTGATCATCTAAATCCCATTAATTTTCAAGGCCTCAGTTATACAGATAAAGAAAAAAAATTGAGAACATTTAATGGGATCTGACTCTATTTAAGAAGAAAAAATGAACGGGTAAAAATGGAAGGAGTCTCCTGACCACTGACCTATGAAATAGGACATGGTCTGGTGATCAGGGACATCATATATTGTATGATAGGAATCTAGGATGATATGGACTTCAATGAAGTGACACATTCAAGTTTTCAAGAAAACTGGACAGTAACCCCTTACACCCCCTCCCCCCCCCCCCCCCCCCCCCCCCACAAAAGAAATTAGTTGTTGTGCTTACTTAACTTAGCTTTTTGTTGTGCTTACAACAAAATAATTTTTTTAATGAATGAACATTGAACAATGCTGCTACCCCCTCCCTAAAAAAAATGTATAACATCATTATCTACTCTAAATCCTATTCTTTGTATGAAAACATTATAATTTGGTTACTGTGAATGAGCTACAATTTAGAAGATAAGTGTAGTGTGGCATATGCTCAGTCCCAGGTCAGTTACTGCCCTAGATATATCAACCCATTCTACTGAATAACTCTCTCTCTCTTTCTCTCTCTCTCTCTCTTTCTCTCTCAATACTATTGTAAAATGACTCACTCTCTCTCAAACCAGCCACTCCCGAATCCCATCTTAAATTGGCAGACTGTTTATGTACCACAGGCAAAATAGGTCCTTAAGATGCATATCAATTAAAAGACTGGAGGGAAAGCCTATGGGCAGATAAACATAACCAATCGCTTTTCAGTAATCACCTAGCGAGGTCACATCGAGTCACCATATCAAGACTTCCAGACAGAACTAATGTACTATTAAGCCAAATGGATTTCAGATGCAACTGTCAGAAACCAGTACTGAGATGCTGTTTACAAAATTTCATGGGAATTTCTCAAACCATAAAGCTAAAGGCAGTAGGTATGCATCTGTCAAAATTAGATTTTCTATTGTTTACATCCTTTCCACAGGAAATAAATTGGTCTGTTTTTGCAGACATCTTTAGTCTCTGACCCACATGTACCTAAACTACCAGCCACTACTAGCAATAATCATCTATTGGATGTCATAAAAGGTCGCCATTGTATATAGGAGTGTCTGCTTACGATGGCTCCATCATTGCTCAACATCCCAATGCCAAAAGAGCATCTGGTAGAGATCCAAATCTTCAACACACAATGTCACTATACCATGAAGACAAGCTTGTCTTCTACAGTCATTTCATTGTCACACAGGGCTTAGTTCAATGTTGAAAATAGAAGGCATCTTAAAGAGAAATTTTAGTTTGTTGAGCAAAATGTTGAATATGAAATCATGAGCAAACCATTTGATAATTAACAATAATTCTGTCTGGCTTTGGTCGGCCTCAGATATGAATTCCCTGCATGAATCTGATTTTAACTTCTCTGTCACTTTGAGCCCTTGATAATTGTTTCTCATATCATGTTTTCCAAAGAGGAAATCCCTTATTATCTATGCCACGATGATGTTCGTTTTCGAAGCAGTAGAAAGAATCTCAACCACTCGCAAAATTTGTGATAGCTCCATAAAAGCTAAAGCTTGAGGTTTGAACAGTATGCGATCAAGATTTAGCTATCCTCTTATCATCCCCAGCCATTCTTCTGTTCATACATGGTGATAAGGTTTATGATCTAGTCATGTTCAGAAATGTTGTGAAACATTATAACATTCCAGGTGTTACTTCAGGAGTGTGATAGTGTAGGACTAGTGGATGATTTGCAGTGTAACCTTCCCTGGATCATCTCCCTAGACAAGGCAAGCCTTGGGACCATCCTGTTCAGATCTCACTGGATTTCAAGCTCCATTTCATACACCAACTCCCATTCTCTCCACACAAACAAACATAATAGCATTACGATATGGTATGTGAAATCTGAGTAGACTTGTGGGGATGTATGTTGTGAGAGTTATCAGCCGTTGCAGCGAGCACACTATGAGCTGTAGAGACAAGTTAATGTAGGCAAATATACTCCATAATCAATCCTGATTGAGATCAAACCATAATGTCTGAATGAAAAAAAGATCATAATTGATTATCAATATTTGTAAAATGCTTGAACACTTTTTTCTCCATGTTTCATCATTTTCTTTTCTTGCTTTACTAGATGTAGGCCTAAGCTTAGTATAATCTATATAATCTATCTTTTTACGGTCCTTTAAGAGGTTATTATCTCTGTAAATATGAAGGTCTATCAGAATTCAATAGTATAATCTGTTTCACTATTTCCTTTGTTATTAATTTTTTTCTTAATCTCAGGTTATCCTTTTTAGTATGTATTCTATTGAATATTCTATCAAGGTTTTCATCTTTTATCTCTTCTTCATTTATAAACCTTTGAATATGATCCATTCTCTTGAATCCCAATCTCCAAATCTTGATTTATGAGCAACATGTGTTAAATTCAGCCAAGCATCCATTCTCAGAATTCATAATGATTCTTCTCGACACCTCTTCAGGTTCTTTCTCCCAACTCAATATGGGCTGACTGCAATGACTGTAACTCAGCACTATCCAAATTCAAACCAAATGTAACAGTAGAAGTCTCTATAGGCATCCACTGAAAGTGAAGGCCAAAACAAACAGAACAACATTCATGCAATGAACTTGAACTGAGACTGTAATGCAGGGGGATTGACCTCTAGATTAACCCGTTCCTATATATCAAATGCTGGGCGTCACTGCCACAATTTTGTCAAATCTTTCAGCGGCTTTATAAGCTTTTGTTCCTGGTTGACAGATGAAAGGACTATGGAGCTCTTATGCACGATTCTTTCTGAAGGCTGTAAGTCGAACTGTTATAGAAGCCAGGATGAAAAGTGCCATTGCTTGTCTATATGTAAGGTCTCCTGCATTCTTCAACTGTTTTGCAGGGCTTCAGTCATGTGCTGTGTGTAATGTTATTTAATGCTTCAAGGAGTCTCACAATTTGTTTTTATATAAAGCTTCTGTGCACATGTATTGTTTATGCGATTACATACCTACATCATGAAACATGACATGAATTTTAGTACAAGAGGTTATAGGTCAACAAAGACTTGATGATAACGACTTGATGATAAATACCCCTATACCCTTTTCTAACTGCACCGATTTTCATCGGATGCATCCGGACGCATCCGATGAAAGTGCCAGTTAGAAAGCAACAGAGGAGAAAAAGGCGATTAAATAGCCGATGAAAAGAAGAGAAATAGGCGATTAAATTCTCCTGCTCTAGAGCAGGAGAAATTCTCATTCTATCGGTGTGACACCGATGAAACGTGCAGTTAGAAAACGTTCGGGAGAAAAGGGCCATTAAAACAGCGATTAAAATGGTCAAAGGTCGCAGTATACGCGCGCTTTACCGTAACCAGCTGTGTTTGTTGACTTATGGTTGAACAAGCTGCATGCTAGCTAGATGGAGCGCGGGCTTAATAATTACGTAATAATTCTTCACTTCCGGCAAGGGCTCGCCACAGCGAGTGAATTTTACCGGCAGTTAGAAACCGACAGGGGGAAAACTGCGGTTTCACCTTTGTTTACATAAGGAAAATTCAATCGGTATTTTCATCGGTATGACTCCGATAGAGTGCAGTTAGAAAAGGGTATTAGTCTATCATCATCCAAACTTTGACTGAGCTACTCACCCTGCATTCATAGAAGCCTTATCTCTGTAAGATGTAGGTCTGATGAGACCGTCAAATGCCTCCCTACTAGGCCTCTGTGGACTGTTGACCAGCGATGTATTCAAGTTCTCAATGCTCCCAGAGTAGTTAGATCCAGAGCTGTAGCCAGGATTCCCATTCTGTCCTGGTGTCCTGTAGTTTCCTGGAGAAGGTTTCCTTGTTGGGGTTGCAGGTCCGATACCATCCAGGCTTCCTATTGATGCTGCCTCGTTGCTGTTGCTAGATGCCATCGAATCACGGTCTCCACGCTGTTTCTTCTTACGTCCTGTTCCTGTTCCAGTCGACTTTCCATTTTGCTTGGAACCCTTCTCTGGTTTGCGAAGCATTGACAGTTCTTCAGCATGATTGATACCTGTGTCAATTAATGTTATTTATTTAAAAAAATCAATTTCAATAGGGCCTACACGTACGTGTAAGGAACATCAGTTTTACAACTATGTCAGGAAGTGAAATGAACATTATCCTAATTATCTTCTTAATTTCATGTATGTCTTGCATAATTTTCTTTATAAATACTAGAAAATTTATGAGAAGAGTTTTGCCATATAATAAGCATGCAAAATATTATATATAAAGTCCATTCCAAATGTATTTCTTACCTAACTCATTGCAGACTTCTTGAACAGCAAAGACGACATTCTTGGAGAAGTCGACCCTTCGGTCAACGAGTTGCATATCAGGTAGCTGTAGTCTGAGGGTCTTATGGCAGGGGGTGAAGTGAAGCTTGGTACCAGCTTGGACACGATAGTTATTAAGGGTCAATCTGGTCTTATGCAACCATATCTTCTTCTCTTCCCACCACACCATGTGGTCTGACCAGTCGATCTGCACACCTGTAGAGTACGGATAGAAGGAATGGGTGTGGTTAGCAAACATCCTTTGGTCTAGACTAGTTGTAACATATAGACTGGTATAGAATTCCCTTCAATCTAAAGACAATGTCAAAGTAGATACTGCACTTGTGGACTTCTGCAAGTCCCTTGAAGAAAAGCTCTGAGAAAGAAATAACTACTACATGTATGTTAAACTATTCTAGAACATAGTAAGGAGTGAGTAAATTATATTGTATCATAACAGTCTAAATTACCTTTCTACACAATCGCACATGTTAAAAGTAAGCATTTATATCGTCGCTGTTTTCACGAAGTGATGGTAGTGAAAAAAAATTGCATTCACTTTGCGTGACGATTTTCCTTACTACCGTCACTTCGTGAAAACAATTATGAGGAACATATTGCTAACCAAACCTTTTGCCGTGCTATACTGTAGCCTATGTTTAAAGGTAATACAAAGTTTTGGGAATTTTCGAAAATTGGGTGGTGGTGATTCTTTTCAATTTTTATATATTTGGATAAAAATGGATACCCCTGTGGATGTAATATAAGCACTAGAAAATTTAACCCCTCAAACACTTCTGCTTTCGAGAAAAATTGAATATAAAAATTTACCGGTGCTCCCGGTAAATTATGATAAATTTCAAATAGTGCCGTACGGCCGTACAATGGTAGCTGCGACCATGAACATTTCAGAATATGTAGTTGTGATATATAATTTCCAAACGGGAATAGTTAATCGGTCGATATTAGTCAAGAAGCATTGTTTTATAGCTTAATGAATATCTTGACCTTGAGAGGGAGCTATACAACATAAAGAGTTTATTATTTATAATTTCATAACTTTAAAATCGATTTCAACCGCGACAACGATCACTGAATATTGTAGGGTCACATATGCTTCTAATATGTTCATTTGAACCAAATTCACGACCCCATACCAAAACTTTGTATTACCTTTAATGTCAACCTTCACAAAATGAACAAAGTGAGTTTAACTAGAAATAATTTTGACCAGATAATAACTTGTTTTTCCCTCATGCTGATTCTAGTTAAATGAGTATCCCATTCACAAATGGTAGCTCATCAAATCATTAGCCAAATACAAGGCCTATTCTAAAACAGGCTCAAGCATACAGTGCAGGAAGAAAATAAATGTTAGCTGTTATTTGTTGTACCAGCTTTGGAATGTAATTCGTATCATATACCGAGTAACAAAAATCTACGGTGTGTTTCAGCTAGCTTGTGAAAAACAAAGGCAAACAAAAATTCTATTAATTCAATCATTTACATGTATGCAATGTAAATAAGCCTTTTGTGAAAGCTAAAAAAACAAACAATTTCCTTCCTGTTGAAGGATAGCACAGTGGGTTAACCCACACATATACTCTCTCATTTTTGTGCTTCAAACACACAATTGTAAACAAATCAAATCAAATTGGAGCATTATGGACATGTGCATTGTGCATCTGTACTCCTCAATCTCTAAATCTACATGAATAACAAACAATTTTTATGATCCCCTCAAAGATTGTCAATCTCCCATACAAAACTCTCATCAAAAGTCATCTCATAAACACTGAAGAAATAATGGTCACCCTAAAAATTTAATCACTATCTTTCTACTGATATTAAATCTTATGAAAATAGACATCATATTAAAAAAAACAGCCACAATGGAGAGCAAAGTAATATAATCCTTATCGAGAAGAAATATCAGCTGCAGAGAGTACATGTACCTTGCATGTATCATTCAGACTTTAAAAAATGTATCCTAGAAAAAACACCTACTGTAACTATGTCTGTTACACAAATACATTTACAGAAATGTATGCTCTATTGGCAATTTTATAGCTACATGTAACAATCCACACCCACATAATTAATGGAGTACCTGAAATTCATTTTCAAAAAATTCAAGAGAGAACCATGAAGGCTTGCCTATACTGTACATGTAGCTTGGTTCATGAATATCAATACAATAGCAGGTTTAACAGATCTGTCCAATTCATCATAGAGATTAACCTTTACTGAAAGGCAAATACAGAGTTTGCTTATTACAGTAATCACTAACACGTACATGTGCATGTAGCTCTAGAGGGGAGCTGCAGGAAAGATGATTAATTGCACAGAGAAATTGGCAAATATAAATAGAAAGAATGCTTTTGTAAAAAAAAAGAGCAGAATATACATGTATGTAGCACTTCAGCTCATACAAAGGAATTACTACATGTACAGAGAATACATACTTATCGCATTCCAAATACATTTGTAATAATTTCTAATATTGACATATTAGCACCTGCAAACCCTTCAGACATATACTGTAATAATTTGATATTCTTTAAGAATCAGATAATAAATGTATACAATTCGGGGAATTCTGATCTCTTAATACAGCATTCATACTATTCACATTTTAAACTATTAAAGGGGAAGTCCACCCTGAAATTAAGTTAGTTTTAATAGGAGTAGAAAAATGAGAGAAACAAGTCAGTGAAAGTTTGAGCAAATTCTGATTAAAAATAAGGAAGTTAGGATTTGTGAAGTTGTGATCAATCAAACACAAATTGGCAACTCTATGACGTATCATGCGAGTTCAACTTCCATTTGCTCAGTACTAAAAAAATCTAAAATTTTCATTTTCCCTCAAGAAAAATTTCAACCATACATGCACCCTAAATATAATAATTGCAAATATGTTTCTATACTCCCCCTGCAAGGAACAAATGTATATTCCGTCATCAATAACGAAGAAAACATGATTTTATGGAATATTATGCACAAAGCAAATGAAGGAGAGCTCGTATAATAAGTCACAGAGTTGCCAATTTGTATTTGATTGATCACAACTTCAATAATTCATAACTTTCTTATTTTCATTCAGAATTTGCTCAAACTTTCACTAACCTGATTTTCTTATTATTCTGCCTCTATCGAAACAAACTTATTTTGGGGGTGGACTTTCCCTTTAAGGATTTGTTGTGAAAGGAACTTGTAAAAAGATGAGAAATGTTAGCTTTATTCATTCTACAATAACCAAAGTTTATCTGAAAAGGTACAAACCTGATATTCAATTGTCAAAGCACCATTCTCTTTAAAAAGTAATTGCCCACAGCATTGCCACACAAACAGAGCAATTGCACAGTTTAGATTTAAAGATCATACCATAAAGAGATACGGTAGGTCTTAATATAGAAAATGGGCCACCAATCACATGATGTATAAGGTGGGAAGTTACCTAGCAAATAATTGTAATGTGAGATGGTCTCTCTCTGAAGAATGATCCATATCTATGTCATTTTGTAATGTTTAGCTGGCATTAGTGGCAATGTGTTGTAACACAAATATCCCACCTCATGATCAACATGTGACCTAGACAGCTGAATATCAACTTCATTTTGTGAAGTTCCTACTGGTAGAAAAAGGAAGTCCTGTGATCGTTATTCTCACATTTTGAAAATCCTTTACAGTGTATATTCGCAACATATTTGGTTTTGTTTTCTCCATTTTCAACAAAATCTAAGCTACTTACATTGTACATTCCTTCCTTTCAAAAGTTGTTTTACTTTCTCTTTGTCTGAATCTACATGAAGGTAACACTATTTGATGAATAGGCCTGAATGGTTTTGTGTGAAAAGAAAATATAGGCTTACAAGAATCTCTGTCTAAAACATTATGTTCTACATTAATTATGCTATAGTGCATATGATATTTACAATGTTACTGACTGAGAACAGTAGTTTAACCCCTTTAAAGCAGCAGGAATGACCTGAAGCAACCCCCTCCCTGCAGAGAATCAGCCAAGCTATGTATGGTCATCGGGGTCTTTAGGGGGCAAGAGATGGTTTGCATTGCTGGTGTGTGTGTGTGCTACAGAACAAACATCTCGGTCAAGGCTTTAACAGTCTGCTACAATATGTGCCTGTGTGCAGCACAAGCACAGCAGTCCTATACATGTGTAACAGTTGCAGTTAGGTTGTGTTCAAACTTAACATTCATTGAGTTGTTTGACTAATTGAAATCATACATGTTATCATCATTACAAGCTGTAAGCTAGCAAATGAAGTGCGGTCTTAATTTAAAGCTAAAGCGTCCCATGCATCATAAAATTGTAAGTGGGCCTACAAATACAGCAACAATTATTTCTAATCAATATTTCCCATCAAGAAATTTACATTTGATTTCTCCTTGTCGAATTAAGTACATGTACATAAAAATTGACCTCGTGGTAAGACTTAATAATGCTAAACATATTAAAGATGACTCATTTATCTCACTTAAATATAGTCGGGTACATGTGTAAGCTGCAGAGAAAATCATAACAATAACTGTATTAAATGTAGATAAGGACATACATGTAGCATCATCTTCAAATGTGAATAGGAAACCTTGCAGAGGGAGCATATGCCCACCATCTGCAAAAGAGATCTAGGGAACGAAATTCATATCCCTTCATTTATTGAAAAGGCATATCATTGGCAGGCTAGAGGCAGGCCAGAGGCAGGCAGGCCAGGGGCAGCGGTGACTAAGATATATATATTGTGCAATGAAATGGTAGATTGCCTTGAAGTTAAAATCAGAAGAGGCAGGCGTATTGCAATCTCTACTGGAGGAGTTACATGTACATGTAGAATGAGTGGGGGGTATGCACATTGTAGTCTGCATTGTTAATCCATGACTTATACAACTACATATCACAAGTGATCCACACAAGGATTACCACAAATCTTTTAGTCACCCTCAAAAACAAATATTTTAATGCCATGAACTAGTATAATAATGCAAAGCAGGAGATGTACAATGTATACACTGACTGTACATGTCTCTATTAGAAACATGGGATGCTTTTTGAATAATAACTGTTGCCTTGTTGACAACATAGGAATGTAAAGAGCACTTGTTTACATATCATAAGGTCAAATGTTGTATTACAAAGGAGTTCCAGGGGCTGTATTGAATCAACTTTATACTGATAACAATGAGAGAACAACTGTTAA